ATCTATGGTATCCTATTGTATCCTATGGTATCCTATTGTATCCTATTGTATCCTATGGTATCCTATTGTATCCTATTGTATCCTATGGTATCCTATTGTATCCTATGGTATCCTATGGTATCCTATGGCATCCTATGGTATCCTATGGCATCCTATTATATCCTATGGTATCCTATGGTATCCTATTGTATCCTATGGTATCCTATTGTATCCTATTGTATCCTATGGCATCCTATTGTATCCTATGGCATCCAATTGTATCCTATTGTATCCTATTGTATCCTATTGTATCCTATGGTATCCTATGGCATCATATGGTATCCTATTGTATCCTATGGTATCCTATTGTATCCTATGGTATCCTATTGTATCCTATTGCATCCTATGGTATCCTATTGTATCCTATTGTATCCTATTGTATCCTATGGTATCCTATGGTATCCTATGGCATCCTATGGTATCCTATGGTATCCTATGGTATCCTATGGTATCCTATGGTATCCTATTGTATCCTATGGTATCCTATTGTATCCTATTGTATCCTATGGCATCCTATTGTATCCTATGGCATCCTATTGTATCCTATGTATCCTATTGGATCCTATGGTATCCTATGGCATCATATGGTATCCTATTGTATCCTATGGCATCCTATTGTATCCTATGGTATCCTATTGTATCCTATTGTATCCTATGGTATCCTATGGCATCATATGGTATCCTATTGTATCCTATTGTATCCTATTGTATCCTATGGTATCCTATTGTATCCTATGGTATCCTATTGTATCCTATGGTATCCTATTGTATCCTATGGTATCCTATGGTATCCTATTGCATCCTATGGTATCCTATTGTATCCTATTGTATCCTATGGTATCCTATTGTATCCTATGGTATCCTATGGTATCCTATGGCATCCTATGGTATCCTATGGTATCCTATTGTATCCTATGGTATCCTATGGTATCCTATTGTATCCTATGGTATCCTATTGTATCCTATTGTATCCTATGGCATCCTATTGTATCCTATGGCATCCAATTGTATCCTATTGTATCCTATTGTATCCTATTGTATCCTATGGTATCCTATGGCATCATATGGTATCCTATTGTATCCTATGGCATCCTATTGTATCCTATTGTATCCTATGGTATCCTATGGTATCCTATGGTATCCTATGGTATCCTATTGTATCCTATGGCATCCTATGGTATCCTATGGTATCCTATGGCATCCTATTGTATCCTATGGTATCCTATGGCATCCTATTGTATCCTATGGCATCCTATGGCATCCTATGGTAGCCTATTGCATCGTAGGAGCGTGAGCGATACATCGAGATTTCATGAAACTCTCGCTCCTTCCTGGATGTCTCTTTGTGGCTTTGCACCTCATGTTGTTCTTTGAACGACTTTCCTCTCAGAACAGTCATTAGACCGTTTGAATGGAGGCAGTCAGTGATCCACGGCGACACGAAGCTCTGATGATGGTGTCAGTTATCTGGAGTCATAACAAGAGAAACAAGAGGCTGCTTCTCTTTCTGTCACGCACATGTAAATAAAGTTAGTGTGTGTGTGTGTGTGTGTGTGTGTGTGTGTGTGTGTGTGAGTGTGTGAGTGTGTGTGTGTGTGGTGTGTGTGTGTGTGTGTGTGTGTGTGTTGATAACATCTCGGTTTTGTTTGGAGACCGTTTCCTCTTGCAACACGATTTCCATAAACACAAATATCTCCCCCCCCCCCCCCCCAGGAGGATCATGGGACGTCAGACCATCAAACTGTAACTGAAGAGACTGAAACGCAGCCAGCAGCCAATCAGACGCTCCGAAAGGTAACAAAGGAAACACTCACAGATATTGAGTCCAAGGTTGCGTTCCGATAATCCAAAAATCAGCTCCTAAATTCTAACCCTATCTCCTATTCCTTGACCTCTGAGTGAAAGGTCACGGGGTTAAGGGATAGTGGATAGGAGAATTCAAAAGGACTTAGGAGAAGAGACTGCGGTGCTTTAGAGAATCCGACGTGTTTCTGATGCGCCAGCGGACGTCCTGAATGAGCGTCTGCTGCTGTGGGGAAACTATGGAAACTACAGTTCTCTATACAGCGGACTACAACATGGATGTTCAATAAGAACGAGGGACTCCTGTGAACTCATCTAGAGACTCTGTGCTCTGATGCTGCTGCTTTATGCTTTATGAACGTGGACAACAGAGAAACAGATTCTTCAGGACCAAAGCTGGAATTGAAATACAAAGGAAAGTGAAGCTTCTGCTCGTCCCCCTCTCCCTCCGGTCCACATTAATACAAATGATCCCAATACGTATGATTGATGGAAAAGATCTTAAATCAATACAGATGTATTTATTATAAACGTTAGTCCTTAACATCTATCTCTGTGTATATCACCATTCAAACATCTTTTAAAAGTTGAACAAACCCCACAGCTCAGTGAAGACTGTGAGATGTTGACTTTATTTGATCATTTCAGTAAAAACTAACGTTCATATTTCTCTCTTTGATTATAATACTGATGAACGTTCAGAACAAAGCACTTTGGCAACTTACCACATACGTTTAGCTTAATGAGCACCGTAACTTTCATGATATAATTTCTACGTCATAATCGGTTGTTTCCGTGAACGGCCGACTGTTGAGTGACGGCAAATGCTGCGGCTGCAATGCATTGTGGGGCAGCATTTTCTCCTCTCCTCTCAGTTAGGGAGGTCCAGTGGTTCCTAAGCTAAAGGAGGTTATAAAGGAAGCTTGAAACCTCCTTTCCTTTCATCTAGAGAATCAGCTCTTATCATGGCTGCCACTGAGGGACTTCCGGGTCATTTCACTCCGTTAGGAAGGTTCCTAAGCTGAACGGACTATTGGAACGCAGCCCTAACAGTTGAACATCGGCACTAAAGTCACATGGTCCTCAGGAGAGGGAGGAGTCATATGTAACTGAGAACAGGGTGTTATTGTTCACATCATTATTTACATTTAAATTGCAGTTCGGTCACTGTCACGACTTTTCTGTAGTTTTTGGTCATTTTGAGGTTTTTGTAGGTTTGATGGTTTCAAGGGTTTTTGGAGATTTATGTTTTTTCTTTTAAATTGTTTTATATTTTGAGCTGTGTATTTGTTTGGAGTTTGGGGGTTTTCTCTTTTGTGTTTGGACAGAGATACTTTTGTTATAGTTGTGTTTATTTTTTGGGTTTGTCGAGTTTTGCTTATTTTGAGGTTTTTATTTAATTATTAGTTTTTTGGGTCGTTTCGAGGGTTTTTGTGTTTATTTTTTACGTTTATTGTTGTTTTAGTTTGATTTGTTCTTTGCATAGTTTTCTGTTTTGTGGTTTTATGCTTTCTCTTTTTGAATATTATAAAAAAAATGTAGATGTTTTTTCTTTTTTTAGTTTTGTGGTTTTTCAGTTGTTTTGGTCTTTTTGTGTTTAGACTTTTAGTTTTCATGTTTTTTCTAAAGTTACACGTTTTCGGGTTTATTTGGAAGATTTGTTGTTTTTTTCGTTCTTTTTTTTTGCGATGGTGTTTGTCGGTTGTCTTGTATCTGTCGCAGCCAGGTCGTCACGCAGAGCGTGACGTGGTTGAGGTTTTTTGGTTAATTTGTTATCTTTAGACAGAGTTGTGTTTTCTTTTCTAGTTTTTAGTTTTTAGTCCTTTTTTTGGAGTCTTGTGTTTTTTGGTAATCTAGATAGATAATATCGAGGGTTTGTTGGTCGTCTCGAGGGTTTGTTGGTCGTCTAGATAGATAATATCGAGGGTTTGTCGAGTTTTAGTTATTTTGAGGGTTTTTTGTTTTTTGGACAGAGTTCTTCTCGTAGTATATAGTCGAGTTATTTTGGTCTTTCTGTGTTTCAGTTGTCTTGGATCTGCTGCAGTGTGAGGTGTGAGGTGACCCCCCCCCCCCCCGGGTCGTCATGCAGAGCGTGAAGTGCGTGGTGGTCGGAGACGGAGCCGTGGGGAAGACCTGCCTCTTGATCTCATACACAACCGGAGCCTTTCCTAAAGAGTACATCCCCACCGTGTTCGACAACTACAGCAGCCAGGTACACACACACACACACTCAGAGAGACACACACACACACACACACACACACACACACACACACACACACACACACACTCAGAGAGACACACAGACACACACACACACACACACAGAGAGAGACACACACACATACACTCAGAGAGACACACACACACACACACTCAGAGAGACACACAGACACACACACACACAGAGAGAGACACACACACATACACACACACACACACACACACACACACACACACACACACACACACACACACACACACACACAGAGACACACACACACAGAGAGACACACACACATACACTCAGAGAGACACACACACACACACTCAGAGAGACACACAGACACACACACACACAGAGAGACACACACACACACACATACACACACACACACACACACTCAGAGAGACACACACAGACACACACACACGCACACACACACACTCAGAGAGACACACAGACACACACACACACAGAGAGAGACACACACACATACACACACACACACACACACACAGAGAGACACACACACATACACTCAGAGAGACACACACACACACTCAGAGAGACACACAGACACACACACACACACACACACACACACAGAGAGACACACACACACACATACACACACACACACACACACTCAGAGAGACACACACACACACACACTCAGAGAGACACACACAGACACACACACACGCATACACACACACTCAGAGAGACACACACACACACATCTTCTTTCTTTATAATGTTGTGTTGGTTGTTGATTTCTGTTGTTTTTTTTCCTCCCAAATGTCTTACCTGTGTGTACCTGTGTTGACATGTGTGTACCTGTGTGTACCTGTGTTGACCTGTGTGTACCTGTGTTGACATGTGTGTACCTGTGTGTACCTGTGTTGACCTGTGTGTACCTGTGTGTACCTGTGTTGACCTGTGTTTACCTGTGTGTACCTGTGTTCACCTGTGTGTACCTGTGTTCACCTGTGTGTACCTGTGTTCACCTGTGTTCACCTGTGTGTACCTGTGTTCACCTGTGTGTACCTGTGTTCACCTGTGTGTACCTGTGTTCACCTGTATGTACCTGTGTTCACCTGTGTTCACCTGTGTGTACCTGTGTTCACCTGTGTGTACCTGTGTTCACCTGTATGTACCTGTGTTGACCTGTGTGTACCTGTGTTGACCTGTGTGTACCTGTGTTGACCTGTGGTGCGTTCAGGTGACGGTGGACGGGCGCATGGTGAGTCTGAACCTGTGGGACACGGCGGGCCAGGAGGAGTACGACCGGCTGAGGACGCTCTCCTACCCGCAGACCCACGTCTTCATCATCTGCTTCTCCATCTCAAGCCCCGCCTCCTACGAGAACATCAAGCACAAGTGGCACCCCGAGGTCAGAGGTCAAATCTGCCCGGCAACAGGGAGCCAATCACAGGCAGCGATTCATTCTAACAGGGGTTTAGTGGATGTAAACAAATGAGTTTAGTGGATGTAAACAGCAGGGTTTATTGGATATAAATGGCAATCAATCAATTTCTTTCTCTCCAAAATAAGCCTGAATATTTCTGATTAGTGTTGTTCTGTATTGATTGACCTCTGACCTCCTGCCCCCTCAGGTGTCTCACCACTGCCCCGACGTCCCCATCCTCCTGGTGGGAACGAAGAGCGACCTGCGGGAGGACGGCGAGACCCAGAGGAAGCTGAAGGAGCAGAGCCAGCTTCCTGTGAGCCACCAGCAGGGGGCGGCACTCGCCAAGCAGATCCACGCCATGCGCTACCTGGAGTGCTCGGCATTGAACCAGGACGGCATCAAGGAGGTGTTCTCCGAGGCCGTGAAGGCGTACCTGAACCCAACACCTGCCGCCACCAAGAAGCCCTGCGTCCTGCTGTAGATTCAAGATGTCAAGGCTTTTATCATCATGTGTTCAGAGCCACAGTGTAGATATGCCCACGATTATCTGAGGTCACAGGCTCCTCCCACAGAGCAGCAACACATAGAGCAAGAACAGTCTATGCATAGAGAATGAATAACAACATGTCTTCCGGTCTGAGTTAATTATTTAGAGATTTGTGTGTTTTTAGTTGGGTTTTTTTGGTCTTCGAACCGAATATTATTTAATGGTTTTTGTTGTGTTTTCTTTTCTAGTGTTGTGGTTTTTAAGTTACAACAGTTTTAATGGAAGTAAACAGTAAATAGCAGGGTTTTAATGGAAGTAAACAGTAAATAGCAGGGTTTTAATGGAAGTAAACAGTAAATAGCAGGGTTTTAATGGAAGTAAACAGTAAATAGCAGGGTTTTAATGGAAGTAAACAGTAAATAGCAGGGTTTTAATGGAAGTAAACAGCAGGGTTTTAATGAATTTTGATCTTTGAAGATTTGGAGAGTTATGGTACGTTCACACAAGTTTTACTCGTTTCACAATTGAACTAAATGTGCATCTAAGTGCGGCTTTGCTTTGACTTCTTGTTATGTAATCACAACGCACAAACCATTGGCTTTGCGTCCGCTGTGAACGTACCTTTAGTTCTGGGATCTGGTTGAACTCTAGCTGAGCAACACTGTGCGGTTATAGATATGCATTCCAGCTGATACCGCACGATCAGATCCTCCGCACGGCCTCAGATCAGCGTTTGAGTTTCATTCCTATAAACATGGACATTTCAATTCCACATGTGCATTAGATGTTTTGTTCGTGTTTACATTCTCACACTGAACATGGGGAATATACATTCACCCCAAGTGAACAAGTTACCGTGAAGAGAACTCACAAACTAACATGCTGTGAAGCCACAAAGTTCCTTGAAGGTCCCTATTATTTAAAATCCTCTTCTTCATGTCTCTTCTTCATCAACATGTGTCCCCTCTTCTTCATGTCTCTTCTACATCAACATGTGTCCCCTCTTCTTCATGTCTCTTCTTCATCAACATGTGTCCCCTCTTCTCCATGTCTCTTCTACATCAACATGTGTCCTCTCTTCTTCATGTCTCTTCTACATCAACATGTGTCCCCTCTTCTTCATGTCTCTTCTACATCAACATGTGTCCCCTCTTCTTCATGTCTCTTCTACATCAACATGTGTCCCCTCTTCTTCATGTCTCTTCTACATCAACATGTGTCCCCTCTTCTTCATGTCTCTTCTACATCAACATGTGTCCCCTCTTCTTCATGTCTCTTCTACATCAACATGTGTCCCCTCTTCTTCATGTCTCTTCTACATCAGCATGTGTCCCCTCTTCTTCATGTCTTCTTCATCACCATGTGTCCCCTCTTCTTCATGTCTCTTCTTCATCAACATGTGTAGAAGGGAATGAGTAGAAAGCATCGGGTCATCAAACCGTACAGTTTGTCCGGCTTCACGGGGCTCAGTTTGGGTGTTTTTTGGGGGTGATAATTAATTTAAAGCTTGTATGTAATGAGTTTTTAAGAAATAATTAAAATCAAGTGAAACTCCAGAGTCCCGTCATTTGTCCTCCAACATTTCATTTGACTCTTTAAGATGTGATTCAAGCTCTGCAGTATGGTGGCTTGTTAGGGCCATTTCCAGGTCAAATAAAAACATTAAAATAAGATAACGCAGACGAGGTAAAGGTAGTAATATTCAACAACAAAAAACTCAGTATTAAATTAATTATAATTGGATTATCATGAGATTATTATATGAAAAAAGTGGTACATTTTTATCAACAACACAAATAGAAAACTCAAATGAATGAGGAAAGAAAATATGAAGTAAAAACGTAGTTCCCTAAGAGCCCAGTCTGCTCTGATTGGGTAGCTGGCCAGGCTCTGTTGTGATTGGTCCACCTGCTCACAGATGTCCCGCCCCTCACTTGGCTGCAGAATGGAGCGGCTCACAGGAGTCACGATGTAAATAGAAAACAGGAAGTTAAATAAAGAGTGCCGCTGATCAGTTCACGGCACATTAGGGATATAAATATGATCTGTATTCTGTGGAGGGTCAGAGCAGTGGCGGTTCTAGACCAATTTGACTGGGGGGGCCACTGGGGGGCCAGTTATTTTCTGAGGGGGGCACAATAAATGCAGGACCAAAAAGAGAACTAGACAGTATGAAGTAATTGCGCATAAGAAAACAATGCAATCCAGTTATTGGTATTTGTTTCAGTACACTTATTTATTTCAGATAGATCTTATAGTTATTACTGTTAGCTTCAGCTTCAGTTATAGTGCAATGTTTGCACTAACACCATATTTATATAAAAATAAAGGCAATGAACAGTTACATCTCTACTTTACATAAGGGTGTCTGCACAATCTCACATTACAGCAACAAAATCCTGCAGTCTTTGGCAAACCGAGTACCTGAAAATATATATTTTTAAAAAAAACTAAAAAAACTTTTCATTGTTAGGGGGGCCACAGGGGGGTCAGAGGTCAGTGTTAGGGGGCACTGGCCCCCCCTGCCCCCCATAGAACCGCCCCTGGGTCAGAGACATGTCAGCTGCTTTGATCAGTAAACTAAATGGTATTCAAAGCTTAAAATAATAAAACATAATGTTATATTTAGTGCTTTTGATCAGAACTGATGTTAAAAAAGTGAATTAAAATTGTAGATATACAAATATTTAATCAATTTGAATTATTTTCCCATTTAATAAAACAATGACATTTAAAATAATTTAAATTCAGAAATATTAATATGTGTGGTTATTTATTTTAATTATCAGTCAGATATCCGTCAAAAATAAACGATTATAATTCAGAAAATAATTACACTTTAGTATTTTCCCATGAAAGACCAGCAGGAGCATTTTGTAAACAAACAGTTTAAATATATGTATTTGACTCTATATGTGATTTAATCTGTGGAGCAGACTTCCTTAAAGCAGGACTTCTGTTGCCATGGTAACAACATATTCAAATCATCAACAAACCTGCATCTGCGTCAGAGAGTAAACAAATACAAACATCAAGTCAACAAACTGAGGTGAAGGGGACGTTTACTATTTGCCTAATGATATATTCTGCATTAGATTTACTCGTAGAGCAGAACGTGGAGCTCTAACTACTCTCCAGGATCAGATTCATAAAACTAATATAAACAAATTAATAAATATTATTACGGATTCAACTTTATCAGGAAAACTTTTTCTAAATCTGTTTTTTACACAATTTCTAAAATTCATTTATAGAATATATAATATCTCATGAGTTGTGTTTAAAGCACAATTAATGATCTGCAGGAGAGCTTGCTAACGTTAGCCCTTAGCCGCTAGCTGTTAGCTGCTAGCAATTAGCCACTAGCTGTTAGCCACTAGCTGTTAGCCACTAGCTGTTAGCCACTAGCTGTTAGCCGCCTGCTTTTAGCCAAGTTGACATTTTTCTCAGAATTATGATAATAATCTAATCTAATCTGCCGCTGGGCCCAGAAAGAAAACCTCACGCAGGGAATAATGTCCAATGACCAGGCAGAAGATCCTTTCATCCGTTTATTGTAGTTTTCCAATAAAATACAGAGAACAATGATTTCCCCCTTTCTCCCTCTCTGTCGCTCCTTGTAGAAAACCATACGCTCAAACTGGGGAACTTGGGTCCCCCTCGCAGCGAGGGCGCAACGAGTCGTTTGGCTGATGCAGAGCGTAGTGCACGCGCTGGGGTGTACGGTTTAACCATGTCCTGGATGTAGGAAGGGCCAGATCCATTCGCAGCACGGTAAGCAAGTACCAGTGTCTTGAAGTGGATTCTAGCAGTTACCGGAAGCCAGTGAAGGGAGCGGAGGAGCGGAGTGGTGTGGGAACATTTAGGAAGGTTGAAGACCAGACGAGCCGCTGCATTCTGGATGAGCTGCAGAGGTCGGATGGCACATGCAGGTAGACCAGCCAGGAGGGAGTTGCAGTAGTCTAGGCGTGAGGATGACGAGAGCCTGGACCAGAACCTGAGTCGCTTTCTGAGTCAGCTGGGGACGTATCTTCCTGATGTTGTAAAGCGTGTATCTGCAGCAGCGGGTTGTAGCAGCGATGTTTGCAGTGAAGGACAGGTTGTTATCTAGGGTCACACCCAGATTCCTTGCAGTCTGAGTCGGGGAAACAACTGAGGTGCCGATGTTGATTGTTAGGTCAAGAGTGGGACAATCTTTTCCCGGGAAGAAGAGCAGCTCAGTCTTGTCAAGGTTGAGCTCGAGGTGGTGAGCAGACATCCACTGAGAGATGTCAGCTAGACAAGCAGAGATGCGTGCGACGACCTGGGTCTCTGAGCGGGGAAAGGACAGAATTAATTGGGTGTCGTCAGCATAGCAGTGGTAAGAAAAACCATGCGGGCTAATGACTGATCCGAGCGAGTTTGTGTACAAGGAGAAGAGGAGGGGACCAAGAACAGAGCCCTGAGGGACCCCCGTAGTTAATTGACAAGGGTCGGACTCAGAACCTCTCCAAGTCACCCTGTAGGTACGGTCTTTCAGGTATGAGGTGAGGAGGGAAAGTGCAGAGCCTGAAACTCCAAGTTCTTGGAGAGTGCGAAGGAGGATCTGATGATTCACCGTGTCGAATGCAGCAGACAGGTCCAATAGGATGATGACAGAGGAGAGGGATGCAGTTTTGGCAGTGTGCAGTTCCTCCGTGACAGCAATGAGAGCAGTTTCTGTGGAGTGACCTGCCTTGAAACCAGACTGGTGCGGATCCAGAAGGTTGTTCTGATTGAGATAACAGGAGAGTTGTTTAAAGACAGCGCGTTCAAGTGATTTAGACAGGAACGGGAGGAGAGAGACAGGCCTGTAGTTTATAACATCAGACGGGTTGAGAGTGGGTTTCTTTAGGAGAGGGTTTACTCTTGCCTCCTTGAGACTGTTTGGAAAGTGACCAGAAGTTAGAGAAGTGTTGATGAAATGGGTGAGAAACGGTAGAATATCAGAAGCGATAGTCTGAAGGAGGTTTGAAGGGATAGGGTCCAGAGGACAGGTGGTAGGGCGGGCAGAGGTAATGAGGGTAAGAACCTCACTTGGAGAGAGAGGGGAAAAGGAGGTAAGTGTGTTGGTGGAAGGAAGGTCTGGTGACCCAGCGGTGAGTAAAGGTGAGTCAGAAAAAGAAGAGCGAATATCATTAACCTTTTTTTCAAAGTGGGTAACAAAGTCGCTTGACAGAAGTGAGGAGGGGGGAGGAGCTTTTGGAGGGTCCAAGAGGGTGGAGAAGATGGAAAATAGTTTTTTAGGATTGGAATAGGAAGATTGGATCTTATCTTGAAAGAAAGTGCTTTTTGCCTGAGAGATCGAAGCAGAGAAAGAGGAGAGGAGAGCTTGATAGGTTAGGAGGTCGTCACGGTGTTTGGATTTCCACCATTTCCGCTCTGCTGCCCTAAGGACGGTTCTATTAGCACGCAGTGCATCATTTAGCCAGGGAGCCGGAGGGGACTGACGAGCCTGCCGAGATGTCAGAGGACAGAGCGAGTCCAGAGTGGATGAGAGAGTAGAGAGGAGAGTTTCTGCAGCAGAGTTTGGAGGCAGTAGTTGGAACGAATCAGAGGAAGGGAGGGCTGAGAGCACCGACGAGGCAAAGGTAGAGGGGAGAGAGGGAGCGAAGGTTACGGCGGACAAGTGTAGGATGGGAAGAGATTAGTTTGTTATGTTTGGAAAGGGATAGAGAGAATGAAATGAAGAAGTGATCGGAGAACTTCAGTTTCTCTCTCAGTCGGTCCAGATCGAACTCCAGCAGCTGAAACAGGAAGAGCAAGCAGTGGCACCTCGTCATTAGGGGCCCCACCTAGTGTCAGCAGAAAGTAATGCAAAGAATAATTCCAAAAATATGCAAAAACACTATATGTTAAAATATATTTAAAGATCATGTTTAATCATCTGATTCGTCTGTACATGTTTTATTCTGTGTTCTTCTAATTAGTGTCTACAGTGTGCCTATTGAGCCGTGTTGAGCGACGTGGGTCAAACCCCGATCCAGCCCCTCTCTCTGCTGTCAAAGTGAATGGGTGCTAGGCCTGTTGAGATAATCGGTAAATTGACTTCCATCCATCTTCTCCCGCTTATTCGTGGTCGGGATAAATTGAATTATCATTCGATAAATAAAAATGGACTCCATAACTTTTCTGAGCTCGATAAATTGCCGTTTACATGAGTGTTTGTTTACTCAAGGATGTGAACAGCATTTTAGCCAGGTGCGCTGTGTCTGCCGGGCACGCGCGCTATGAGGTGCGGGGCTCACACACACTCACACACAGCCAGGTCAGGAGTCAGACACTCCGCGTGCAGCAGTGTAGCATCCAAATTAATAATATAGCGACAAGCGGGAGACAACGTGTGACTTACTCGAGGGGAATTTATAGTGAAATGGAATTGGTTACAAAACCTAACTACACATCTCCAGTGTGGCAGTATTTTGGATTCAAGCCAAATCAACGAGGCGAACCTACGGACTTGAATGAGCCGGGCGGTGGCCGTTTCTCAATCTCGAGGATGCTGGCTTGGTAGTCGCGTACTTAGAAGTCACTTCCTTCACAAAGTATGCTTCCAATCCACGGCTTCGGAAAACGAAGAAGAATGGAACAGGCTAACAAGTGTGTTACTGTCTCTAACGGTTTCAACATAAACTGTACCGAAAATAAATACCTCACGATGTCGATCTAATTATGAACTTGCTTTACTTTCAGGAACACATTTTTGGTGAAAACAAACAAATGTAACAAAGTCACATATTTACCAACACATGTTCTACGCCACTACATACTTACATTTCAATGTGTGCTGCGTCCGGGTTTTTGAAATTGATCCGTGCGCAAAGCATTGTGGGGATTTTAAGGACGCGAAGTCTACCCATGTGCAGCCTCGAAATTTCCCCCAAACCAAGGACGCGGCCTCGCTGGAATTCCAAGTATGCTGGAGATTGGAACAGTCCTTCGGCGGCACTCGATGACGTAGCATCCTTGAAATATTAGCTTGGAAGCCAGAATCCTCGAGATTGAGAAACGGCCGGTGTGTCGCATTTGTTTAAAAAAGGTAGCAACAAAAGCAGGCAAGACCACAAATCTTAAACTGCACCTGAAACACAACCACCCCATTCCGTGTTCCCAGCTGGGAGCAAACACGGCAACTGGAGATGGAGAGCCCCCACCTTCCCGACAGTTTGCAATCAAAGATGCATTTGCCCGACAACGCAAACATGTTAGGGTTAGGGTAATGTTGTGAATCGAGTGGCCTGTGTTCGTCGTCCATAGCATACGCCTGCCCATACCATAACCCCACCACCACCATGGGCCACTCGATTCACAACATTACCCTAACCCTAACCCTACCCCTACCCCTACCCCTCACACCAGATACTGACTGGTTTTTGGACCCCCCCAGACCCCCCCAATAAAGCAAAACTGCACGTTTCAGAGTGGCCTTCTATTGTGGCCAGCCTAAGGCACACCTGTGCAATAATCATGCTGTCTAATCAGCATCTTGATATGCCACACCTGTGAGGTGGGATGGATTATCTCGGCAAAGGAGAAGTGCTCACTATCACAGATTCTTTCAAATTTGTGAACAATATTTGAGAGAAATGGTTATTTTGTGTATTTAGAAAATGTTTTAGATCTTTGAGTTCATCTCATGAAAAATGGGAGCAAAAACAAAAGTGTTGCGTTTATATTTTTGTTCAGTGTAGATATAAATATATTAGCTAGCTCTGTTTTCCAGCCTGAGTCTATTTAATTTATTGTTTTGGTTGTGTGTGATTTAATTAATTTTGTATAATTTAATTAATTTGTTTTATTTATTATAATTCATTTATATATTTGAATATTATTTCACAGTTCATTTGCAATGTTGAATGTTCAATAAAAAGTTCTGTTTGAAAGGATGTACTTGAATTATTATTATATATTATCATTATCATTCATCTGGTTGCAACTTACAAATTATTTATCTAATATATCATATTCGAATTACTTTAAATAGACTCTTCTTGCACTATTTCTATTCTATGTTATTGTATTACTTGCACTTACTTGTGTTGCTCTGTTGGAGGAGCCTGTGACCTCAGATTCTCATTGCATTATCTACACGGTAGCTAATGTGCACATGACAATAAAAGCCTTGAAAATGTAGAGAAAGTCTGACTCTGAGCTGTGGACAAGAAGACAAAGAGGAAGTGATCACCTTGTTCTCCTCCACATGCAGAGCGATGCCCACATTATCCCAGACATAGCGCTCATGAGGGCTGCAGGGCCGAGCCTCCATCTGCTGAGTCTCATCGTTCCGGACCAACTCGTATCTGACAGAGAGACAGGAAGTCAATCCCTAACTCATTTCCTGTCTGAACCTCCCAGGTTACCTGTCATTGTTGTTTTCTCACCTGTGAGTTCCACACATGGCCTCAGGCCTCCAGATGAAGCGGCCATCTCTGTAGCAGCAGACAGCGTTTGGGTCGTCGGTCAGAAGAGGATGTTTTGAGAACTGCTCCTGATTGGCCGGACTGTGGACCAGCACCACATACATCACTTGCTGTTTGTACAGGTGGGTCTGATACACCCGCATGACGGGCTGATCACCGCCGCAAAACTGGAGAGAGAAGAAGAGCTTTTACACAGAATCACAGAATCAAGTGGAAAAGTCGTTCAACAAAATGAAGAACTTACATTTGTGGAATAGCATCATGAGTCAGCATTATGAGTCCTGAACCCTGACCTGAGTCAGCATTATGAGTCCTGAACCCTGAGTCAGCATTATGAGTCCTGAACCCTGAGTCAGCATTATGAGTCCTGAACCCTGACCTGAGTCAGCATTATGAGTCCTGAACCCTGACATGAGTCAGCATGATGAGTCCTGAACCTTGACATGAGTCAGCATTATGAGTCCTGAACCCTGACCTGAGTCAGCATTATGAGTCCTGAACCCTGACCTGAGTCAGCATTATGAGTCCTGAACCTTGACATGAGTCAGCATTATGAGTCCTGAACCCTGACCTGAGTCAGCATTATGAGTCCTGAACCCTGACCTGAGTCAGCATTATGAGTCCTGAACCATGACCTGAGTCAGCACTATGAGTCCTGACCCCTGACCTGAGTCAGCACTATGAGTCCTGAACCCTGACAGGAGTCAGCATTATGAGTCCTGAACCTTGACATGAGTCAGCATTATGAGTCCTGAACCCTGACCTGAGTCAGCATTATGAGTCCTGAACCCTGACCTGAGTCAGCATTATGAGTCCTGAACCCTGACAGGAGTCAGCATTATGAGTCCTGAACCCTGACATGAGTCAGCATCATGAGTCCTGAACCCTGACCTGAGTCAGCATTATGAGTCCTGAACCCTGACAGGAGTCAGCATTATGAGTCCTGAACCCTGACAGGAGTCAGCATTATGAGTCCTGAACCCTGACATGAGTCAGCATCATGAGTCCTGAACCCTGACCTGAGTCAGCATTATGAGTCCTGAACCCTGACCTGAGTCAGCATTATGAGTCTGAACCCTGACCTGAGTCAGCATTATGAGTCCCCTGAACCCTGACATGAGTCAGCATTATGAGTCCTGAACTCTGACCTGAGTCAGCATTATGAGTCCTGAACCCTGACAGGAGTCAGCATTATGAGTCCTGAACCCTGACAGGAGTCAGCATTATGAGTCCTGAACCCTGACATGAGTCAGCATCATGAGTCCTGAACCCTGACCTGAGTCAGCATTATGAGTCTGAACCCTGACCTGAGTCAGCATTATGAGTCCTGAACCCTGACCTGAGTCAGCATTATGAGTCCCCTGAACCCTGACCTGAGTCAGCATTATGAGTCCTGAACCCTGACCTGAGTCAGCATTATGAGTCCTGAACCCTGACCTGAGTCAGCATTATGAGTCCTGAACCCTGACAGGAGTCAGCATTATGGGTCCTGAACCTTGACATGAGTCAGCATCATGAGTCCTGAACCCTGACATGAGTCAGCATTATGAGTCCTGAACCCTGACCTGAGTCAGCATTATGAGTCCTGAACCCTGACATGAGTCAGCATTATGAGTCCTGAACCCTGACAGGAGTCAGCATTATGAGTCCTGAACCCTGACATGAGTCAGCATTATGAGTCCTGAACCCTGACCTGAGTCAGCATTATGAGTCCTGAACCCATGAGTCAGCATTATGAGTCCTGAACCCTGACCTGAGTCAGCATTATGAGTCTGAACCCTGACCTGAGTCAGCATTATGAGTCCTGAACCCTGACATGAGTCAGCATTATGAGTCCTGAACCCTGACCTGAGTCAGCATTATGAGTCCTGAACCCTGACCTGAGTCAGCATTATGAGTCCTGACCCCTGACCTGAGTCAGCATTATGAGTCCTGAACCCATGAGTCAGCATTATGAGTCCTGAACCCTGACCTGAGTCAGCATTATGAGCCCTGAACCCTGACCTGAGTCAGCATTATGAGTCCTGAACCCTGACCTGAGTCAGCATTATGAGTCCTGAACCCTGAGTCAGCATTATGAGCCCTGAACCCTGACCTGAGTCAGCATTATGAGTCCTGAACCCTGACCTGAGTCAGCATTATGAGTCCTGAACCCTGAGTCAGCATTATGAGCCCTGAACCCTGACCTGAGTCAGCATTATGAGTCCTGAACCCTGACCTGAGTCAGCATTATGAGTCCTGAACCCTGAGTCAGCATTATGAGCCCTGAACCCTGACCTGAGTCAGCATTATGAGTCCTGAACCCTGACCTGAGTCAGCATTATGAGTCCTGAACCCTGACCTGAGTCAGCATTATGAGTCCTGAACCCTGAGTCAGCATTATGAGTCCTGAACCCTGAGTCAGCATTATGAGTCCTGAACCCTGACAGGAGTCAGCATTATGAGTCCTGAACCCTGACATGAGTCAGCATCATGAGTCCTGAACCCTGACCTGAGTCAGCATTATGAGTCTGAACCCTGACCTGAGTCAGCATTATGAGTCCTGAACCCTGAGTCAGCATTATGAGTCCTGAACCCTGAGTCAGCATTATGAGTCCTGAACCCTGACAGGAGTCAGCATTATGAGTCCTGAACCCTGACATGAGTCAGCATTATGAGTCCTGAACCCTGACCTGAGTCAGCATTATGAGTCCTGAACCCATGAGTCAGCATTATGAGTCCTGAACCCTGACCTGAGTCAGCATTATGAGTCCTGAACCCTGACCTGAGTCAGCATTATGAGTCTGAACCCTGACCTGAGTCAGCATTATGAGTCCTGAACCCTGAGTCAGCATTATGAGTCCTGAACCCTGAGTCAGCATTATGAGTCCTGAACCCTGACCTGAGTCAGCATTATGAGTCCTGAACTCTGACATGAGTCAGCATTATGAGTCCTGAACCCTGACCTGAGTCAGCATTATGAGTCCTGAACCCTGACCTGAGTCAGCATTATGAGTCCTGAACCATGACCTGAGTCAGCACTATGAGTCCTGACCCCTGACCTGAGTCAGCACTATGAGTCCTGAACCCTGACAGGAGTCAGCATTATGAGTCCTGAACCTTGACATGAGTCAGCATTATGAGTCCTGAACCCTGACCTGAGTCAGCATTATGAGTCCTGAACCCTGACCTGAGTCAGCATTATGAGTCCTGAACCCTGACATGAGTCAGCATCATGAGTCCTGAACCCTGACCTGAGTCAGCATTATGAGTCCTGAACCCTGACCTGAGTCAGCATTATGAGTCCTGAACCCTGACAGGAGTCAGCATTATGAGTCCTGAACCCTGACAGGAGTCAGCATTATGAGTCCTGAACCCTGACATGAGTCAGCATCATGAGTCCTGAACCCTGACCTGAGTCAGCATTATGAGTCCTGAACCCTGACCTGAGTCAGCATTATGAGTCTGAACCCTGACCTGAGTCAGCATTATGAGTCCCCTGAACCCTGACATGAGTCAGCATTATGAGTCCTGAACCCTGACCTGAGTCAGCATTATGAGTCCTGAACCCTGACCTGAGTCAGCATTATGAGTCCTGAACCCTGACAGGAGTCAGCATTATGGGTCCTGAACCTTGACATGAGTCAGCATGATGAGTCCTGAATCCTGAGTCAGCATTATGAGTCCTGAACCCTGACCTGAGTCAGCATTATGAGTCCTGAACCCTGACAGGAGTCAGCATTATGGGTCCTGAACCTTGACATGAGTCAGCATCATGAGTCCTGAACCCTGACATGAGTCAGCATTATGAGTCCTGAACCCTGACCTGAGTCAGCATTATGAGTCCTGAACCCTGACAGGAGTCAGCATTATGAGTCCTGAACCCTGACAGGAGTCAGCATTATGAGTCCTGAACCCTGACATGAGTCAGCATTATGAGTCCTGAACCCTGACCTGAGTCAGCATTATGAGTCCTGAACCCATGAGTCAGCATTATGAGTCCTGAACCCTGACCTGAGTCAGCATTATGAGTCTGAACCCTGACCTGAGTCAGCATTATGAGTCCTGAACCCTGACATGAGTCAGCATTATGAGTCCTGAACCCTGACCTGAGTCAGCATTATGAGTCCTGAACCCTGACCTGAGTCAGCATTATGAGTCCTGACCCCTGACCTGAGTCAGCATTATGAGTCCTGAACCCATGAGTCAGCATTATGAGTCCTGAACCCTGACCTGAGTCAGCATTATGAGCCCTGAACCCTGACCTGAGTAAGCATTATGAGTCCTGAACCCTGACCTGAGTCAGCATTATGAGTCCTGAACCCTGAGTCAGCATTATGAGCCCTGAACCCTGACCTGAGTCAGCATTATGAGTCCTGAACCCTGACCTGAGTCAGCATTATGAGTCCTGAACCCTGAGTCAGCATTATGAGCCCTGAACCCTGACCTGAGTCAGCATTATGAGTCCTGAACCCTGACCTGAGTCAGCATTATGAGTCCTGAACCCTGAGTCAGCATTATGAGCCCTGAACCCTGACCTGAGTCAGCATTATGAGTCCTGAACCCTGACCTGAGTCAGCATTATGAGTCCTGAACCCTGACCTGAGTCAGCATTATGAGTCCTGAACCCTGAGTCAGCATTATGAGTCCTGAACCCTGACAGGAGTCAGCATTATGAGTCCTGAACCCTGACATGAGTCAGCATCATGAGTCCTGAACCCTGACCTGAGTCAGCATTATGAGTCTGAACCCTGACCTGAGTCAGCATTATGAGTCCTGAACCCTGACATGAGTCAGCATTATGAGTCCTAAACCCTGACATGAGTCAGCATTATGAGTCCTGAACCCTGACCTGAGTCAGCATTATGAGTCCTGAACCCATGAGTCAGCATTATGAGTCCTGAACCCTGACCTGAGTCAGCATTATGAGTCCTGAACCCTGACCTGAGTCAGCATTATGAGTCTGAACCCTGACCTGAGTCAGCATTATGAGTCCTGAACCCTGACATGAGTCAGCATTATGAGTCCTGAACCCTGACCTGAGTCAGCATTATGAGTCCTGAAACCCTGACCTGACCTGAGTCAGCATTATGAGTCCTGAACCCTGACCTGAGTCAGCATTATGAGTCCTGAACCCTGACCTGAGTCAGCATTATGAGTCCTGAACCCTGACCTGAGTCAGCATTATGAGTCCTGAACCCTGAGTCAGCATTATGAGTCCTGAACCCTGACCTGAGTCAGCATTATGAGTCCTGAACCCTGACCTGAGTCAGCATTATGAGTCCTGAACCCTGACATGAGTCAGCATTATGAGTCCTGAACCCTGACCTGAGTCAGCATTATGAGTCCTGAACCCATGAGTCAGCATCATGAGTCCTGAACCCTAAGTCAGCATTATGAGTCCTGAACCCTGACCTGAGTCAGCATTATGAGCCCTGAACCCTGACCTGAGTCAGCATTATGAGTCCTGAACCCTGAGTCAGCATTATGAGTCCTGAACCCTGACCTGAGTCAGCATTATGAGCCCTGAACCCTGACCTGAGTCAGCATTATGAGTCCTGAACCCTGACCTGAGTCAGCATTATGAGTCCTGAACCCTGAGTCAGCATTATGAGTCCTGAACCCTGACCTGAGTCAGCATTATGAGTCCTGAACCCTGAGTCAGCATTATGAGTCCTGAACCCTGACCTGAGTCAGCATTATGAGTCCTGAACCCTGAGTCAGCATTATGAGTCCTGAACCCTGACCTGAGTCAGCATTATGAGCCCTGAACCCTGACCTGAGTCAGCATTATGAGTCCTGAACCCTGAGTCAGCATTATGAGTCCTGAACCCTGACCTGAGTCAGCATTATGAGCCCTGAACCCTGACCTGAGTCAGCATTATGAGTCCTGAACCCTGACCTGAGTCAGCATTATGAGTCCTGAACCCTGAGTCAGCATTATGAGCCCTGAACCCTGACCTGAGTCAGCATTATGAGTCCTGAACCCTGACCTGAGTCAGCATTATGAGTCCTGAACCCTGAGTCAGCATTATGAGTCCTGAACCCTGACCTGAGTCAGCATTATGAGTCCTGAACCCTGAGTCAGCATTATGAGTCCTGAACCCTGACCTGAGTCAGCATTATGAGCCCTGAACCCTGACCTGAGTCAGCATTATGAGTCCTGAACCCTGACCTGAGTCAGCATTATGAGTCCTGAACCCTGACCTGAGTCAGCAGTATGAGTCCTGAACCCTGAGTCAGCATTATGAGTCCTGAACCCTGACCTGAGTCAGCATTATGAGTCCTGAACCCTGAGTCAGCATTATGAGTCCTGAACCCTGACCTGAGTCAGCACTATGAGTCCTGAACCCTGACCTGAGTCAGCATTATGAGTCCTGAACCCTAAGTCAGCACTATGAGTCCTGAACCCTGACCTCAGTACCTGCAGACTGTAGGCCTCCAGCAGCTCCTGAAGGGGGAAGGTGAAGCGGTACGATCCGAACACGGGGCTCTCCTTGAAGGCCGGCGAGGAGGCAAACTTCCCCAGGAAGCTCTGCTGATCCTGGACCTGCTGCTCTGTTTGGAGGCGCAGGTCAGCTGATCTGAGTTCCTCCCCCCCCACAACCAGACCCCACCACACCAGGCCTTGTATTCCCATGAAGCCTTTGGACTCCTTGATGCCTTCAAAAGCCTGTCTGTCGGTGTCGTGCTTCAGATGGCTCACATAGATCTCTGGTCGTGGGTATTCTGGGATTCTGTCATTTTTAAAGAGGTACTTGTTTCCTGAGCGCTTTCTCTTTCTCAAATCATCCAGCTTCAGATGCTCCTTCTCAAAATATTTTGCTTCAGACTCCATGATCAGCTGGCTCTCCTCTGAGGACGATGTATTACAGCTGACAGAGTACAGCTAGAGACTGAAGATAAACCTCTCCTACTACCGCGCCCTGTAGGGAAATATAAATAATAAACATCATGATGAGATGGAGGAACCGGTCTAACAAGTTTAGATGCAGTTTTGATTTGGTTGGAAGGAAAACGGGGTTCAGGGGGAGCGGCTGTACCCGTAGGATAGAAAAGGGGGAAGTGCCGTCTGACTCAGAGGTCGCGCGGCTGTGGAGAAGAACGTGTTGTCCACATTCTGTTCCTGAGTTTAGGCTAGTTAGCGAGCAGGTTTATTGTTTTGGGTGCAGTCGCTTTGCCTCCACTTGCTGTTCAAATACATGTTGAAAGAAAAAGTTAATCTGTTTACAGTTCTGTTTTATATGGGTGTATAATGGTCTCACATGCAGAGCACACAGCACACACAGTGACATGTGTTCTCTGCTTTTAACCCATCCTAGCCCCAGGAATCTAGCCCCAGGAGTCTAGTACCAGGAGTCTAGCCCCAGGAGTCTAGAACCAGGAGTCTAGTACCAGGAGTCTAGTACCAGGAGTCTAGCCCCAGGAGTCTAGTACCAGGAGTCTAGCCCCAGGAGTC